AGAGAAGGAGAGGCAGAGAGAGAGAGAGAGGTCTTCCATCCACTGGTTCACTCCCCAGATGGCCACAACAGCCCGAACTGCGCCAATCCAAAACCAGGAGCCAGGAGCTTCTTCTGGGTCTCCCACATGGATGCAAGGGCCCCAAACACTTAGACCATCTTCTACTGCTTTCCTAGGCCATAGCAGAGAGCTGGATGGGAAGTGGAGCATCCAGGTCTTGAACCGGTGCCCATATGGGATGCCAGCACCGCAGGTGGCAGCTTTACTCACTATGTCACAGCCCCGGCCCCCATGGTATTCTTAAGAGTCTACCGGTTGAGGCCGGTGCTGTGGTGCAGCAAGTTAAAGTCCCAGTCTACAGCGCCAGCATCCCATATGCATGCCGGTTCAAATCCCGCTGCTCCGCTTCCGATCTGCTATGGCCTGAGAAAGCAGAAGATGACCCAAGTCCTTGGGCTCCTGCACCCATGTCGGAGACCCGGAAGAAGCTCCTGGCTCCTGGCTTCAGATTGGTCCAGCTCCGGCCATTGAAGTCATCTGGGGAGTGAACCAGTGTATGGAAGACCTTTCTCTCTGTCTCCATGTCTGCCTCTTTGTAACTCTCCCTTTCAAATAAATAAATAAATCTTTTAGAACAAAAGACTCTACTAGTTTAGGTTTCACTCCAAGGCCAATAGACAGACATTACACCTTATTAGGTATCTGATGTGATTCTGATACTAACTCAGGTCTTTACACAATTTAACTGAACTTGATCTTAAATGCTCATTGAGCACAGTTTCAGTCAGGGGGTGGGTGTCCTTCAGAAGTATAATGTGTGAAACTCACAAATCAGAACAATAGTATTTTTGATTTAAAAAATCTATGAAGTGTCAAAGGAACACAGAAAATGTAATGGCTCTGTTGGTTAATGGAGGAGGTGATGTTCAGGTTTGCCTGTAGGAGCAGGCCAGTGCCTGGGTGTGGGAGAGACGATGCTAAGATGCTGGTTGTCACAAGCCAGGAAGGAGAGAGAGATGCCTCTATGGAGAAGGGAGAGTAGGCTGGGAAAAGCTAAAGGGGGAAAATCTGCTGGGCTTCCCCACCGAGGAATATGGATGGAGAGGAGAAGAGAGCCATCAAAAACTGGGAAAGGTAGCCATGGGAAGCAGTCCTGCTAGGCTCACAAGGCACAGGCCTAGAGGAAGGGGCCTGGAGACAGGTGAGGTGAGAGACCACAGCCAGCGAGGTGGAAAGAGGCAGCTGCAACCATCAACTCCTCCTGGTCCTGGTGCTGGTGGCCCTGCAGCCCAGCTCTCTCTCTCTCTCTCTCTCTCTCTCTCTCTCTCTCTCTTTCTCTCTCAAATATATATATATATGTGTGTGTGTGTGTGTGTGTGTATGTATTCCTAAAAAAGAAGAAAAAGAAAACCTTGTCATGAAGAAGAAAAAAAAAAAAGTCATCCTACCTGGATCAAATTCCTGGCTCTCTGTTGGCTGGTGCCACGGCTCACTTGGCTAATCCTCCGCCTGCAGCGCCGGCACCCCAGGTTCTAGTCTCGGTTGGGGCGTCGGATTCTGTCCCAGTTGCTCCTCTTCTAGTCCAGCTCTCTGCTGTGGCCCAAGAAGGCAGTGGAGGATGGCCCAAGTGCTTGGGCCCTGTACCCGCATGGGAGACCAGGAGGAAGCACCTGGCTCCTGGCTTCAGATGGGCACAGTGCTGGCCGTAGTGAACCAATGGATGGAAGACCTCTCTCTCTCTCTCTCTCTCTCTCTCTCTCTCTCTTTCTCTCTCTCACTGTCTAACTCTGCCTGGCAAAAAAAAAAAAAAAAAAAATTTCTGGCTCCCTGTTTTGACCTGATCCAACCCTTGCCATTGCAAGCATTTGGAGAGTGAACCAGCAGGTGTAAGCTCTCTGTGTGTCTCTGTCTCTCTAATAAATTTTCAAGTTATCCTAAGTAAACACTGTGTTTAATGACATCAGACTTATGTTCTAGTTTGAACTTCTTATCTCAATTTGGGCCAGTAACTAGAAGCTCATGGACTGGCACTGGTGAAGAACTGACTTCTATCACTTATAGTATAGTTCCTGATATACAAATGAGTAAGCACTGAAGAATAAAGCAATCAATAAATCAATAAATCTTTTTGAAAAGATTTATTTATTTATTTATGAGGCAGAGTTATAGAGAGAGGGAGACACAGAAAGAGAAGTCTTCCATCCCCTGGTTCACTCCCCAAATGACCTCAATGGCCAGAGCTGGGCTGATCTGAAGCCAGGAGCCAGAAGCTTCTTCCTGGTCTCCCACACAGGTGAAGGGGCCCAGGCACTTGGGTCATCTTCCACTGCTTTTCCAGGCCATTGCAGGGAGCTGGATCAGAAGAGGAGCAGCTGGGACTAGAACCAGTGCCCAGATGGGATGCTGGTGCTGCAGGTGGAGGCTTAACCTACTAAGCCACAGCGCTGGCCCCGGTCAACACATCTTGAACAACATCATGCATTGAATAATATTTATGGAGTATGTACTGATGTGCCAGATACTGTGCTAAGTGCTAGAAATAGAAAGTTGGACAAACTGATCAAAGTGTCTCCTCTTGGGAAATTTACCTTCTAGCAAACATCTAATCAGCAAAGAATCTATACTAAAAGATAAATAATTTCAAACTGTGAGAAACACTCTAAAGAAAATTAAGCCGGTCATGGAGATGGAGCTGCTACTGACAGTTTTTTTTTTTTTAAGTAATAGAGGTTTGATGAGAAAAACTCAGCCATGCAAAGATGTGGGCAACTAGGGATCGAAACAATGGGAATGGTAAAGGAAGATCCCTGAGACAGGACTGAAAAAGGGAAAACCAGTATGGGTGGCAAAGAGTGAGAAAGAGATCTTGAACCCTCCACTCTGTGGTATTTTTCAAAAGCACTCCAGTTGGCACTGTTCATTTGCAGTGACTGCATGAAAGTCCTGCACTCGAAACTTCTATTCTTCAAGGCAGTGGGATGAGAGGTGTTTCTCCACGCAGATACTTAACCATCCTGCACGCACCATATTGTTAGTCAGTACACAGCACTTCATTCAGGCAGCTACTACAAATAGTTTCTAGTTAATATGTGAGTTGAATCTTATTTGTCACAGAGAAAGAGGATCCAAATATTACCCTGTCCTTAGCAAGACCATTGTAGGACAGTGTAATCAAGTGAACAGAAAAGTTTTGATGGCTTATTGATTTGATGCACCATGCCTTATGACAGTGCAAACATTGTTTCCATTGAGGGGATCTGGGCATAACTCCTTATGATGCCTAGTTCCCACTTAGCTCACTACATGGTCTCTATGAGGAAAATGGATTTCTCTCAGGACTAAAATTCAAGAAAATTGTGCATCTATTAAAAACAAATACTTGGTTTATTTTTATCTTATGAACACTGGAAATCCTAAAATGATAGCTATTTCCTCCTTTCTGTGGCTATTCAATACTTTAGGGTCAAATTTCTGGCCTGCCTTTGACAACTGTTCTGGATCCAATAGAATACATACTTGAATATTCCTATCATTGACTGCATTATTCTCCTTTCATGAAATTCCCCTTTCCCTAGTTCCTTCAACTGTTTCTTTTATCTAGTAATGTCTATATTTTCATAACGTGGCTCAAATTATATGTTAAAGAAGATCAGGTAGAACTACTTTATAAAACCGAGCTCTAATCTGAACTAATTTCTGAGAGTTCATTGTTCAGGCTAAAAATGACTAACAGTTGAAACATTTTACAAATGTGTTCTGTTAAGCTTACTCATTTCTCTGGGTTTTCTCTGTGCAACATATTGGAATAATCTCAGCTTCTTCAAACCAGAAGTGAGATGGAGGGTAGAAAGAGAAGAAAAAAGAGCTAATGTATGATCATAAAATCATTACTGTGGGCATATGAAGGAATATAAGTAGCAAATCTTACTGCGACAAAGGGGAAATTATATATTTCTGTATACATGGAAAGGGTAGATATTCAGTGAACATTTACTGAGAATTTACTTCATAGAGACATGTACTATTAAAATGCCTTCTTTTGTGTGCTATCGCAAAATATTCCTAGCGATGGGATCAAGAAGATCTGTGATTACCAAGTCCTGTTTTTACCACATTGTCCCTATACTTCTCAGTTCTTGTGGCACCCAATCCCAACTTTAGACTGTAAGCTCTTTGAGGCTTGTCTTTTTACTCGGAGTATGTACTGACAGATGTAGTTGGATTTAAATACAGAGGAAGGAACTGGTTATGATCTCTTTGCTGTTTTTCTTGTAAGTTTTCTTGTGGTAAGAGTTGTAAGTGGGGGAGGCAGAAAAGCAAGGCGATCTCAAAGCGCAGGGCTGAGACCAGAATTTCTGTCTCAGTCGGGGGCCGTCTGCACAGGCCCTGGGACTCCGGAAGGGTCATTGTGAGGAGACTTTGGGAAGTGGAGGAATCCTGCTGACTCCACGCATCTGCCTAGCGTTGAAGGTCGATGGAGAGGCCGGATTGAACACGGTGTCACGGTTGTGGCCTAGAGAATAGGAAAAGTGGCTAGAAGGTACACAAATTCAGTTTGAGTCCAGAGGATGTGAAAACGGCCTCAAAGAAACTCAGAAGTAAATTGGACACCAAAGCTAGCTGGGAAGGCCACATCCGGCGTTTTTTTCCCCGGCTTAAGTCGTCTGTTCCAGGAACACCAAGTCATGATATTTGCCGATGGGAGACACCTGAGGGAAGTCACTTTGAGACTCTTTGGCCCGCAGCCTGATTTCACCCTGCAAACACGGCCAGCGGCGAAAGGGAGTATGTAGGCGGGTCGGTCCCGCGGAGGGCGGGGAAGGGGTGGGGCCAGGGAAGCGCTTACAGGCGTGGTCCCGTGTGGCCAGCCGAACGCGGGTGGGACTCAGACCTTGGCTAGGACAGAGAAGGGGGTGTGGTCAGATGAAGGGTGTGGCCAGAGCGGAGGGCGGAGACCACCGCGATCTGGTGGGGCGTGACCAAGGCAGTTCGTGGGAAAGTACCGGAGCACTGATCTGTCGGGAGGAGGCGTGGCCTCCAGGGAAAGGGCGTGGCCCTGTCTGTAGGCCGTGAGGGGGCGTGGCTTTGGTGGCCCGGCTATTGAGCAGCGGGTCCTGAGAGGCGAGGGAGCCGCGAGTTTCGTATTCTGGAGAAACGCTCAGGTAAGAACCTGCGGCCTAGAGAAGAGAGGGCGGCCGCGGCGGCGGGCCAAATCAGAGCCCTGACCCTCTGTTCCGCCGCGCTAGGTCCTGGAGTTGAGACAGCTGTTGGTCCTCTATGGTTTGGGTTCCTACGGGACGTCCCGAAGGACCGGTAGGTCCTAACGGGGCATTGCCCCGCCACAGCACTGTTTCTCCATTGTGGGGAATCACCAGTTGGTCGCACCTCCTTTAGGGTTCTTTTCACTAGATGAGATAACAGCTGGCCCAGAAAATTTGTGGTGGCCGGCAGGGCAGTTCCTTGGAAGGGATCTTGAGTGTCGGTAACTCCAGAAAGTCCAGCATACTGTGCAATAGCTGGAAACGGGGTAAGGACTCGAGTCGGAGGTTGTAGTTCCAGAAACCAAAGCACAGTCGGCTGGGACTCACTCCCACCTGCATTGTATTTCTTGCTTATGCCCGCCCCTATTCCATGCCAGGTCTGTGGGCAGATACTCAGCCACCCCAGACCAGGGGAGAAGTTTCACAGCGATGCCATTTGGAAACTTCTGAGCCCTCTGCACTCTGCACTGCCTTCTGGCCTTTCTGTTTTGTGCCCCGCCCTAGGGCTGGAGGACAGGAACCTCCGAAACCCACACACTTTTGGTGGCTGGCATTCTTTGTGGCGTTCAAGTGTTCCTGCCCAGGGCTGCTGGCGACTCGTTAATGAGTGTCATTCCTCTCCTCCCATATATTTTCGTTGGGAAACTTTGATGAATATATGGAGTTAATGTGCACATCTTCGTTTGGCTTGAACTTGTTCTCAGCCTCTGAAAACCAAATTGTTTTCTGCTTCTCCTTCTTCCTTTACAAATTATCTGGCCATGTCCACTCTGCTGTTTAAAAGCTTGCCTGGAATATGGAGAAGAGTTACCTTATTTCTCTGGTGAGAAAAACTGTCTCAGACCCACCCCCTCAGCTGGTCCCTGGACATCCCTTAGAGTGGCCACTGTTCTTGGATCTGTTGGAAATGGAAAACTTTTCAACTTTCTACAACTTTATTCCTTTACTAAGATATTTTTAAAGTGATACCTTGGCCAAAATTCGCTGAAAAACCAGAAGCAGCAAGGGCACTGTTCTCTGTGCCTGTACACACCTGCTCTGGTCTTCCTGGAGCCAGGCAAAAGGCTGCCACTGTTCAAAGTTGGAATGCAATAAAGCTTGAGTGAATTGTGAATAAATGAGTGAACATAAATATTTTTGAAATCTAGTGGGGGCCGGTGCTGTGGCTCAGTGTGTTAACGCCCTGGCCTGAAGCACTGGCATTCCATATGGGCACTGGTTCGAGACCTGGCTGCTCCACTTCCCATCCAGCTTTCTGCTATGGCCTGGGAAAGCAGAAGATGGCCCAAGTCCTTAGGCCCCTGGGCCTGTGTGGGAGACCTGGAAGAAGCTCCTGGCTCTTGGCTTCAGATCACTGGATGGAGGACCTCTCTCTCTCTCTCTCTTTCTCTCTGCCTCTCCCTCTCTCTGTGTAACTCTGCCTTTCAGATAAATGAATAAATCCTAAAAAAAAAAAAAAAAAAGAAATGTAATGGAAAGGAGAAAATGCATTTCATCACATTGGCAACACTGTAAAATTTGTTGCACCACACAAAGCAATTATTAGACATGTGTTTTGAAACATTTGGCTACTTCAGATGGGGATCATGCTCCCAGGGAAGAAGTGGGGTAGAGGAGGAAGCTAAACTTTTTCATCCAAGATATAGCAATATAATGTCTAATTTAGATTTTGAGGAATCGCGAAAAGCTTGCTTCCTTTTGAATCGGAAGGTGGGAGAAGGAAGCATCAATCTCCTGACAATAAAGGAATTTTTTTCAATACAATTGTAACCTTTGGTCAGAGTACTTTTTTGCTGTTTTGTATTAATATAAATGGCTTGATCAGGCAGCAATCGAACTACTCATCATTTAAAGAATACATAATTTGTGAATGATTCTTTTTTAATTTACTTTTGCTTCAAGGGTAGAGGGGGGAGCGGGGGAGAGAGAGAGAGAGTGAGCAAGAGCGAGTGTGCGGGACTGTGCCAGACTAACTCCAAGACCCAGGAACTCCATCCAGGTCTCCTACATGAGTGTCAGGAACCCAGCTATTTGAACCATCATCTGTGGCTTCCCAGAGCGTGCATTAACAGGAAGCTGGAATAGAACGTGGAGGTGGGACTTGATCCCATGCACTCCGATATGGGATGCAGGCATTCCGAGGGGCTGCTTAATGTGCTGTGTCACAATGCTTGCCCCTTAGGAATGATTCCTTAAGGGCTTCCAGAATCTTTTCCGATGCATTTCCAAGTCTGTGACACAGCAGACAAGGGAAAAGTTAGTAAAATCCAAGGATGCACATGAATAATTAGTGATTCAAAAAGAATATAGAACAGCAAGTTTATCTCCCCATTGAGCCATGATACATCTTTATGGGAAAACAAGTACATACAGATTTTTTTTCATGAAATGCAGTAATGTATAGTAGTAATTCATCATTACATACTATGTTTGACAGTTAAATGTTATTTGTGTTTTCATAAGCTTGGGTATTACGAGTTGAGTGAGTCAAGTAAGTTTAAATAGCCAGCTCTCAATAAATCATTGCTTTTAATTAACAGATGGAGCTGGCCTTAGGCCTGAACACAAAACATGTCCTGTGTGGGGCTGGCATTTGGCACAATGGTTAAGATGCCACTTGGGAAGCTTGTGTTCCATATCAGAGTGCCCGGGTGCAAGTTCTGGTGCCACTTCAGATCCAGCTTCCTGCTAATGTGCACCCTAGGAGGCGGCAGGTCGTGGCTCAAGTACTTGAGTCCCTGCCACCCATGTGGGAGACCCCATGGATTTCAAGGCTTCTGGCTTCATCCTGGACCAGCCCTCACTGTTGCAGGCATTTAGGGAGCGAACCAGCAGATAGAAGATCTCTCTCTCTCCTTTTCAAATAAAATGAAAATAATAAAAATGCAGCTGCAAAACTCATTTTTTAAAAATGCCAAAAAGCCTGGAGTGTTGTTACGGGTGTTGTAGCCTATCATTAGCTAATTTGAGTTCCAATTTATTTGTTTCTTCCTAGATTGCCTTTCACTGTTCCTTCTCAGTCTGTTTCTATCCTTAATACCTCTTTTTGTCAGTCTCCCTCAACACACCTATCACGCCTAGGGGGAGGAGATTTTCCTTCTGTCTCTAACTTTGTGACTGAGTGCTGCATTGTCAACTCTCACTTGAGCCTCTCTTCTCAGCTGCCCCATTAGCACCTCCAATCCAATGTGATCAGTGGGAAGACTGCTGTCTCTCCCTTCCCTGTTTCTCGTGCCAGACTATGTTTTCACCGTTCACAGATTCATCCTCATTCTACTGCCAGCATCACTCCGGCCATAAAATCACGAGGCCTCCTACTTCACTCCAGTTTCTTTTTTGTTTTATTTTTTAAATCAAAATAACTATCTCTTGAACATAAAGTACTTTGTCTATCTCTACTGTCACTACCTCAGGGAGTGCTTTGTTTTCTGTCAGTTTGAGTTACTGAAATTTCATTTCAAACTCTGCATGCCTGGTAGTCTCACCCACAACCTGTTCTACGCACTGTCTTCCTTATCTCAGTTCATGGCAACACTATCCTTCTAGTTGCTTAGGCCAAGAATCTTCACTGCTCTTTTAACTCCTTTCTTTCACATTTTACAGGCTGTATCCAAAGGATATAGCCAAAGCCCAACTACTTCTATCTCTACTGTGGCATCCCTAGTATAGGTCTTTGCAATGTCTTAAATGGTCTTCCTGTATCTTTCTCATCCCTTTCCTCCACTTTCCCAAGACGATTTTTAATGAGACCACACAGAATAATCTTTTAAAAATGCAAATGAGATTATTACTCCTTTGTCAAAAATTTCTATTGTATCCCCGCTTCAGTTACAGCAGTGTTACTTAACCTGTGGCAACCAGAAGACATCTGGCAATATCTGGAGATATTCTTTTGTTGTCACCACACTGGTATAGAGTACTACTGGCATCTAGTGGATATTAGCCAACATAGGTGTTGCCAATGCTCAGGACAGCCTCCCACAACCAAGAATCATGTGATCAAAAGTGTCTACAGTGCCCAGGCCGAGAAACTCTAACTTAGAACTCTTACAATGCCTGGAAGTCTGTTTGATCTAGCATCCATTACCTCTGAACCTCATTTCCCCTACCTTCCTCCTGGTTTACTCCACTCCTGCTATATTGGGCTCTTTCCTGTCTGTCGAATGTGCTAGACATGCTCCTACTTTACAGTCTCTGCTGGGTGGTCCCCCTGCCTAGAATATCTTTCCACTAGATAGCCAGATAACTAATTCCCTACTTCCTTCAATCCTTTTGTTAGTGGAGATGAGGGGGATAGGTTCCTGTCTTCGTGCAAGAAATAATTCAGACATGAGACAGAAAGTAGTGGTAAGCAAGGTAGCAAGGTTTAATGGAGTAGCGCATCCATCAGAACGGATGCACACCTCACCAGACAGAATCAGAAAGTGAGTGCCCAGTCATTCAGACTGGGGAGAGCCAGGTTAGATGGTTAAATGGAGAGAATACACCTGAAAGGCCAGGCAGGCAGCTTAGGAAAAAGCTGAGAGCTGAGAACACAGTCTGTATTCACACTGGGGCTTTTAGAGGAATGGGGCCCAGTTCTTCCCAATGTTTCTCCTTTCTGTCCTCCTTCTCCAGGACAGAGGGTTTGCTGACTGTGGATTAGGTAAAACTCCTCCCAAGGTTTTAGTACTCACTTGCCGGGCAGAGGAGACTGCCCTAGGGTGCCTTCCTTGGAGGAAGGCTGTGGTTTTATTCCCCAGTGTTACCAGGCCAGGTAACCAAGTTGGTGCTGAGCAGAGGATTCTCCTGGGAAGCTTTCCTTGGGGTGAAGGCTGAGACCACCGGTAAAGTTGTCAGGGTATGGGCAGGACTCTGTATCTAAAATACTGTGGGGTTGGAGTTGTGGTGTAATGGGTTAA